CCCCCCATTCGGCTCAACACACGATCTACGAAGAAACCGTACTCGCAAATCGCCACGTCCAGCCAACGGCAAGAAATCAAACTCCAATGCAGGTTTACTCCAAATACAACACAAAGTTTGTTTGTTTTTTTAAACATTTTTTCAAACGACTTTACCAACCAGTGGACAGTATGCCCCCAGGTTGTGTCTTCTTCGCAAGAGAAGCATTTGAAACATAAAAAAAACTATTAGTCGGTGACCGTCATGGTCGAACCGCGGACTACAGTACGTCGTCGCCACCCTCGCCACCGCTGTCCGACGGGGAGTCCAGCGAATTGTAGCAGGTAGGGGACTCAGACCCAGACAGCAAGCGTCTCTCCGTCAGTGTCGGCTCCCGGGCCTCACCTGATGCAGTACGTGCCCGGTTGAAGTGACGCCGCGGTATGCATAGGTAGGGAGGAAGCGCAGCATGTTGTAGAGAACATTTGGGAAAAATCCTCCTCGTATTCTGGCTTAAATTCTGAAAAATATTACCTCTCTACTACGTAGACTGCATACGCATTTGCGGCAATGCCCACGAGGAGACAGCCAGCGCTTCACATTTTTTTACTGCAATATGTCTTGCCAGTTCTTTTGGCACGATTCTTGCTTTCTTTGTGACCTCAACATGCATGCTTTATTCGATTCTCACCCTGGCCCCGGCACCTCGCGCAACACAAGCGGTAAATCATGTACGCGATTCGAGGCATGGTCATGACCACATCGATGCCGGTGTTAAAGACCCAGTGGAGGATCCGCCTCAGGATGCCGACGGTCCGGTACGTGTCGCCAACCATGGGCTGCTGCTCCTCCTCCTCGTCCTCGTCGTTGTCGACTGCCTGTTGCGCGGGGCACGAAAACCAGCCGGGTGCGGACAACGAAAAGCTATGATACGAACTATGAATACCCTCAACTCAGTGTGAGCGGAGGTCCCAAAATGGCGAGGTGGTATATCCCTACCACCGAAGGCTGGCTGATTTCCTTTGGTGCAATGTGACGAGGAATGTCAAGCGGTGGTTGAGCATACTCAGCCAAGGCCAGGGTAAGGTTGCGAGTGGGCGCCGGCTGAGACCCTTCCTGGGTTCTCGGTACCAACCATAAAGATCCATCCCGACTCAGGTCGGGTGAATAACCCACAGAGTAAAGATCCAGAGCAGAGCGGTGAATTATCGTCTGTCGGATGTTCTTCACTCCCTTTGTATGTGCGTGTGTAAGTATAAGAAGATACGAATATCCTGGCCTCCACATAGCCCCCCTCTTTTTCCGCCGAAAATCTATCTTTCGATTGTTTTTGGCGCTCATTCAGGTGATGAATGAGAAGGTTGTGTCGTGGAGTAGGTATCGTTTCCTTAACTTTACAGCAACAACAGTTTTCCTGTTTGTTTCCTTCCCCAACCATCCGAAGATGGCTACACCTCGTGTTGAAAAACACGGCAGGTGGTGTAAAAAACAAACATTTGAACTCACATACTCAAGAGATGTCCGGAATTTATTGGTCATACCAATGTGTTCGACACCAGAGCCGAAATAGACTCTGTGATGTGCCCTCGTGTCTCTCTCGAAAGCACAAGCGGAAGGTATCAGATCGATACCTGGAAGCCACTTGGTGAATTCAAATTGTGAGCTGGCGATAACACTTGGTTGTGCAAGAGTTGTTTTCGCTCTAGGCTCTTTTGAATGTTAAGCGTTGGCTTGTCTGGGGTGTTCGCAAGCTTGTTGCAGGAAATTTCAGGCATACGGTGT